CAGGCGGGTCTGCGCCACTTACACCAAGGTCATAAAGCTGGAATTCAAAAGGCTCCCTGAGGCCAAAGCATCGCATTCAATCCTCTCTTTGTTGGCCTTGACCGAACTCTCAATTGCGTTTGTTTCTGAGGAGCTTTGTGTAAGCTGCGCTAGGAAGGAAAGTCAGTACTTTACTATGTATCCCTACTAAGGGTAGTACCCTCAAAACAGCTCCGATCCCGAACAAGGAGCCAGTGAAATCCCGAAACTCTAAACCCTAATCCCTAAACCCTTGCCGTGCATTCCTCGCGACTGAGGCGGGCAGGGAGAAAGGCCATTGCACTTTAAAAAAAGGAACCTAACAAGAACGGTTTAGGGTTTATGGTAAGAAGCTTGTTACCCCTAAACCCTAAACCCTAAACCCGAAACCTTTGCCGTGAGGACTTCGAGGCTTCAACGAACCTGGCACTTCAGGCAGCCCGCCCGAAAAGACGCGAAAAAACGGGGGAGAGCTGGGAGTTTCCGAAACAGGGGACCCTAATTATAGTACCCTACATAGTAGGATCCGCTTTGTAAGGACCCCAAGATAAGGTAACCCCTAATTTTCTGAAACTCCCGTTTTTCCGGGGCTTGAATCGACGGATTGGCGAAAGTCGTAAATAAGGGGTGGTTGAAGGACCCGAAACCTAAGCAAGAAGCCGATCAAGTCCTCGTAAATGAGCCGTAAACCATCCCTCCAGCGCTTGATACAGCCGTGATACGAGCCTCGATGTTGAAAGCTGTTATGGGATGTATAAGGCTCATCGGTTTAGGATTTAGGGCTTTCATGTATGGTTTCAATCAGCCTGCATGTTGTTGGGCTTGCATCGGTCTTCATGCAGCTAAGAAAGGCTTTTACAGGGCTTACTTGGAGGATCAGGGGACTTAGTAAGTAAGGTTAAAAGTACCTTAATTGGGGTTATAAGTATGGTTACCCTAATTATAACCCTAGTTACTAAGTCCCATGATCCTCCAAGTACACAGGGTTTCATAAAGAGCTCGGACCGCCCCGGGCAGACCAGGAGAAGGAGACCTATTGCCCTCGGCTCCCGAAATATGAATCCGTCAATCCGAAGGAACACCCCAGAAATCTTAAAACGAAGCTGAGCCCTAAGAGGCTGAAAGCAGTTTTCAGGCAAGTGCTTGACCGACCTGGCAGAAACCTTAAAAAAACTGACAGTGAAACCCTTCGAACACTTCCTGAAAAGGCGAGGCGCCTGCGAGTGGAGCAGTTCGAGCTCAGCCTAGCGGCTTGGCAGTCGAAACGTTGGTATTTCCAAGAACATGGGACCCCCTAACCTATTCGTGGAAGGGTTCATAGTAAGGAACCGACTGTGTGGCTGCGTGTGCTTTCTGTGCTGCTTTTGTTACTCTCCAAACTGCTCCGAGAATCGTTGACACTTCTTCGTGCTTGCTTTTATTGATACTGTTCTAGTTTGTATGGGAATTTCCGAAAATTTGGGGTACCTTATTCTGGGGGTCCTATATTAGAGTCCCCTATTATCGGAAACTCCCGTATGTTCGAGATTCAAGGATACAGGACGTTCAGAGCTTTGGGGCTCAGGGCTTGAGATCCGTTTTGAGGTGAGGATACTTTACTACTATTTGCTTAAGAAACCCCCAAAAAATAAAAATAATAATCCCTATAATACCCCCATAAGGAATATAATTTTTATTTTTTGGGGGGTTCTTAAGCAAATAGTAGTTTATGTCCGAAAGCGAATCCGGAACCCCTAGTCTGGGGATCAGCGGACTTACTAAGCAGGCCTACAGGTAGTGGAACTGTAGTTGCCGCTATTTTCAACCTCTGATTACGGTGCTTGTATCACCCCACCTGCAGCTATCTATGATCCCCTAGCCAAACACGAACAAACATAGGAATTCAAGCGTGACTTCTAGGTACCAGCACTCGCGATCCTTTGGCCTAGAAGGCAGACATCCTTTTCGGGCTTCCGGAGCACCCGAGAAGAACTCATCCCCAAGTGTGAAGCTGCATATGCCCAAGACAACAGAAACCAAAGCTCCCAAACCCAAAGCCCCGAAGCCCCAAACCTCAACGTTCTCAGACAGCAACGGCCGAAGACACCGTACCCTAAACCCTCATAAAAACCTCTATGGTAATCCTTTAAAGGAAAGCCCCACAACCCTACTAAAACCCACAAAAGCCTTGGTGTTGCAAACCTGGGAGCTTCCACAGGTCATCGCTTCCGTGTCCATCGCCGCCGGCGGCCTCGTCCCAGGCCCCAAAGACTTGAAGGTTCAGGGATAGTTTTAAGTGTACTCCTTTAAGGAACCTAAAGGATTTTGGGTTTAGGATAGTTATAAGTAGGGTTACCATCATTATGACCCATATCAGGGGACTCATACAACCCCACGAATAGCTAGCCACGAACCTCCAAGTAGTGGCTCTTAACACAGGGGTTGCTTGAAAGGATTACTGGGATACTGCCGGCATACAGCAACGGTCTACAAAAGGCTTGCGAGTAAGGGCCGAATATCTCTATATTAGAAATATTATTCAACTGTTTCTGACTGGGGGCCATACCCAAATGATTGCTACAAAGGGTTACAATACGGGTTTGGGATTTAGGGCTTTAATTTAGCGGACTGGCGGCCTTAATCATGACAACAGGGTTTGGGCGTGTATTCTGCTTTATTGATAATAAGGAATCCTAAGGAATCATGGTGGTATGGGAGTAGTATCGCCTTTGAGTCCCTGTGTAGCGATACTAGACCCTAGGGGAACGGAGCCCAATAAGTCCACAAAGCTTAGAAATCCCCTCAACTTATTAATGCAGCTTTTGCTTGAAGCTTAGGATCCTTATTAGATTGTAAAGGCAAAGCCACACACGCCGGACCGGACCCTAGACTGCAAAAACTTCTTGAACCCGTATACCTTGTCAAAAGCCATAGGACCCAAATCATCCCCTAGGTATATACCCTTAATATAGCTATTATATACCCATTGTATAGCCCATTATAGGGTAGTAGGGTCCCCATTAAGGGTCCCTCCTTTCCCCTTTGACATGCGCAAGAGGGGCCATGGGCATGAACCTCTTGAGCGGCTACGAGTCAGCCGCCCGGCCCCCAGAGGGAAATCAGGTGACTCGCTGACTCGGTGCTTGGAGGTATAAGTGGGGTTATTCGGGGTTAGGGTTCCTTTAAGGGTTCTATTGGGTTTAGGGTTTAGGGTAGTCATAAGTGAGGTTATAAGTAGGGTAACCATAATTATAACCTATATTAGGGGACTTCTACCCCCACTTATTATAGCTACTCAGGAACCTCCAAGCAGGTTTAGGGGTCTGTTGTACGTAGGGTCTGACTTTGAAAAAGTCTATTGAACAGGCTAAGGAGTCCTTACGGATTCTATTCAGTGTCTCCGGGTGGTCTTGTAGAGGTTCATGGGATGCTAGCAGTGGTTCTATATGGGGTGTTTGGAGGGTCAGCGAACGCAACAGACCATATTGTGGGGTATGTGGGTGCTTAAATTATGGTCCCTTTTTGGGTGCCCTAAATATTAGGTGCCGTATTATAATGAGGACCCAAAAAGGGACCGTAATTTTGACAACCACCCATGTGGACGTAGCGGGACTTTCTTGGGGAGCTCGGGAACTCCAATCCTCCGTCGCGGGACGAAGCAGAACTCTGTTTTCTCAATACGGCTGATGGACAAAATCCTGCATGACCCTAAGGACTCTAAACTATGGGAACTTCTATGGTTTTCCTTATAATGGGTAATGCAGGATTTTGTCCATCAACAGTACCAATACCCCTTTGGGGGTTCCTTCTGATAAAGATAGTATAATGGCCCCGAAACCCTATTCTAATTGTCAAGGCCCCCATATTACGAGATCAGTTGGAGTCTCGAGTGATCGACACGTTTCCCAGCGAGGATGGGGCCTTCCGCGCTGCCCTGCTGGTGACTCTGGCTGTGGTAAGGAGCCCGGAGGCAGAGAGCACAGAGACCCCTGGGCTGAGGGCTTTAAGGTGGTGGGTCTTTGGGGGTTCAGGCCCTAAACCCTAAACCCTAAACCCCCTCAAGTCCAGGGTTTTGGGTAGGGTATGCGTTGCAGGGCTCAGGGTTTCTATGGCTCAGAACCTCTATCCGAGCTCCTTCTGATGTCAGGGGGCGAGGGCGTAGGGTAATGAGGAGAGACCATGCGCCCCAAACCATGCACTGCCTGGGCTGCGTCTGTGTGCCTGATCTCCTGCATCCGTTGCTCATGACTGACCATCATCCATCTGCTCCCATCTGCTCCTGCGTTGGGCGTATACAACAAGAATCTTCTATACCTGACGATCGCATGGGCGCTGGGTGTGGGTGGGTAGCCGCAGCTTCCGGATTCGGTTGCATTAGGTAGGGCGTCACTTAAACTAGATGTTGGAACGGTGGGTGCAACCCACAACCGCCCCCGAACTCCGAGGTCCTCGTCCTCTTCTTCACTATTCGCTTCCTCGCATCCAAACAGGGCTTCCTTGCATGACGGAGAAAAAGCGCACCGTGTCGGACGAGCGCATCTCAGACTTCATTGAAGAGAGGTAGTATGAGTCGTGCTAGCAGAATTGCAAATCACGATGTAACTCAACGTCCTAGTCCTAGTCGCACTCGACCCCAAGTTCCACGTAGTGCCCTCGTCATGGCTAGTAGGATCCCTAGACGCGGCAGAGGGAACCAACCGTTTGAAGGCCGCTGTTTGCTGCGAGGTCCACTGAACCTGTCGGCACGTCTACGCAGCAATAGCTCGACATGTAGGAATTGCAGCTGTTGCTTCTTTTGCTGTTGTTGAATGATAGCAGTGGTGATGATGATGATGATGGTCGAAGGAGGTTGTGCTGTTCTTCTTCGTGATACTCGGCATGATCCACAAATAACACCCCATGCCACCATCAGCACTCGAAGCAACAATGTTATGATGATCGTGATTATTGGCAGCAGCGACACCATCGCCAGCCTTATCAGCACAAGCAGCATCAATCGCCAGGTCTCAGTGGGGCCGCGCCTCTGCCAAACCCGCCACGAGCCGGTGTGTGAGGCACGATCAGCGAGGTGTGTTCTACCAAGCAACTATCGAAATAAAATATATATATATATATATACACACACATACATACATACATACGTACATACATACATACTAATATTATAATACTACATTATATATATATATATATACATATATATATATATATATATATCAGTTACAAGAACATTCATGGCAGCTCAGTCAGATGCCCTTCTCAGATGTGGATTAGATCGCGTCCTACATTGGAGCTCAACAGAAGTGGTAAGCAGTCTTCCTGCCCCTTGCCATACAAAACCTCATCAACCTCTCGCGGAGTCCTGTTTATAGTACAACAGTGGAGCCCGGAGGTACAGCTTTCGAAGCTTCCAGGGGTCGTAACTCGAGCTAAGACTCCATATGGGGTTTGCAACTGCACGATGCAGGGGAGCCACCCAATGCGATGTGGCGGCATGGTTCGTGGAGAGGACCGAGAAGGGTAAACGGTCACTGCAGCAGAAGTCTCGTGCGGGGAATCGCACGCCGGTGAAATTCCAAGCGATCTTCGCTGAGTCTTAGCTTGGTTGCGGTTCATGACGCTGCAGCAGTGCAGTGGTTCGTTGCATGTCATCCCGTCGTGACCGGAGTGCTGAAGGATCCCACTGGCTTCCCAGCAGGGAGGAGGACGAGCTGAAAAGCCTGCGACTGGCTCCGAAGAAAACAGCTGGAGCTGGGGCTTAGCTTTCAGCCCCAAGTCCGAGTTTCCCGATCTGAACATGTTGAACATCGCGGATTTGCGGTGCGTTTGCCTATGACTGCAGGCATTGCTTCCAAGGGTTCAAGAGGCCCCAACCCTCCCAAACCTCCACCCTGCGACCACACAACCCTGAGCCCAAAGCCATGAGACAGCAGCAGCAGTAGCGGTAATAGTCCGAGTTTCTCCTTCTATAAGATCTGCTCTCGCGCCGGATGTCGTTCTCCCCCAGCTGCGCCGGCACTGGGCGCAAAAAGGGTGCCCTATGGTGGAGGCCGGTCCCTTCGTTTCAGACTCCTTTGCCTCCATTCCGGCTATGCCAGAATGTGTACGCACAGCGATGGCTGATCGCTTCTCACAGGTGCTGCTGCCACAAGCGCGAGGTGGGACGAGGCGGGCCCATGATCAAGGGACCTTCGAAGGACTCTGTGACCACCCCTTTGCGTTGAGGCACTAAGTAGCTTCATGAAGCAACTGTTGTTAAATCTCACAAGCGTCTGCAGCTTGAAGGTGATCTTCTTTGCCCCCCATATCTTTCTTGGAACTGCTCTGCAGGTCTTTTCCGTGCCAAGGCATGACGCCAAGAAGCCAGGACCTTGGCACAACTCTGGTTTGCAACTTGTGATGTGCAGCAGCGCTTTTGTTCGCTTCTTTGGCTCCTGTAGTTGAGGCTGCCACGGCTCCGCCGCCCTGCGTCTTGCACCACCTGTCCGGCGACGGGCCGGGTGCCCGAGAAAAGGTTCTGACAGGGAAAGCAAGACGGTAAGTAGCAGAAAGGAGAAGTTGTCACTGTCGTCATCGTCGTACTGACTTCCTTACTTACTTGCTTGGTAAGCTAAATAGTCAGTTAGCTAGATGGTTAGTACCTAGCCAGTGAACTTATTAACTAACCAGCTGACTGACTAACTAACTAACTAATCAACCAACCAACCCACTCGCTAACTAACTGCCTAACGAAGTAACTAACTGCCTAACTAACTATCTGCCTAACTAACTAGCTAGCTAGCTAACTAACTAATTAGCCCACCAATGAAATTACCACTAGCACAAGCGCTCCACTGTCACTACCGCTAGCACCACCGCTACCACTAGTATATCTACTACTACTACTACTACTACTACTACTACTACTACTACTACTCCTACTACTACTACTACTACTGCTACTGCTACTGTATCTGCTACTACTACTGCTGCTACTAGCTACTCCTGATCCTACTCCGAATCCTGACTGTCCTCCTACCTGTACTACTCCGACTCCTGCTGCTACTGCCTCTGCTACTGCTACTCTTAGTGCTATCGCCGCTGCTACTACTTGCTGCTCCACAGTTGCTGCTGCTGCTGCTGTTATGACTTCGATCTAGGTGTTTCGGTTAAAAGTTCAGTTGGTTTAGGGTCTAGGGTCTGTAGGGCACTTATTAAAAGTCTCAAACAAGACTTTAAATCCACTATGTGCCTTTCTGCACCGCAGGTGGGTGCCATTGCTGGGCTGGTCGAGAGCACGCCGCGGGCAGTACAGATCTCCCCAGGCCAGGACGAAAAGCTTTCCAGTAAAATGTGAGCCGAATCAGAGGGGGTTTGATTCACCATATCCCTTGCAGCCCCTGTATGTGTGTAGTGGAGTTCATTTTCTTTTTTACCCTTGGGGCTTGGGGTTGGGGTCGGGGATTCAGGGCTCCGGAGCCCAAAGCGTTCAAACTTTGCTCTTCCGGTCATTCCGTAATGGACTGCCTCCAAGGCACGTGGCACGCTGGGGATTGAGAATGCTGCGCACTGCTGGGCTAAGCCGGTGACTGACTAGCGCCGTTTACGACTTGGAGCATCACGGGACTTAGTAAGTAAGGTTATAAGTACCCTAATTGGGGTTATAAGTATAGTTACCCTAATTATAACCCTAGTTACTAAGTCCCATGATCCTTTAAGGAGTGGCAAATGTATCTGTCGTAAAGCTCTCGTCGGGACACGGCGTTGCCTTGCCATCCAATTGGTCGTGCTCGACGAAGGAAAACCCTGGTATAGAACTCAGGAAACTGTAAGAGTGCTCCTTTCTCGATGAGGCTCCTCGCCCGGCAATCGCCTGTTTCTGTGGGAAATAGGTTCTCATAGTTCGGAGATCGTGTGGCAATTCAAGGACCTATCAAGAGAGTCGGGCATTCTCGTAACCTGTCTTCATATCCCAACCACAATTAAGGTACGCGTAACCTTACTTGGCAAGTCCCTTGATCCTGCTAGAGCTCCTTGTAGATCCCTTCTTTCAAGTTGGGGACCCTCAAGCCCCAAGCCTTAAACCTTACTCGCAATGTTTGCTTCTCTGAGTTCCAACAACAAAAGAAGGAACCGTAGATATTTCCTTCGTGAAGCCCAATCAGAACACACTGCAAAAGCCCAGTGTAAAACCCTTACAATAAAACCATTCATGACTAGTCATAAAGATGAGCCGATTGCCGCCGGAGGCGTTCTGGAAGCAGTTGAGGCCAGCGGACCAGGATTTTCGTTGGTGCCGTACTAGCCAAGCAAGAGTCAGGTTTTGAAGAGGTTTCAGACGGTTTTCGGGGGGGTTTGAGAGTCAGTAAGGAAGATCTCCAATGCAATCGCAAAGATCAACTTCTAGCTCGACTGCTAGAGGTCAGCTGGGCCGAGAACTATTTTCTGTTATCGCTTTGGTCGTGTGCGGTAGGGGCAGCCTTGGCTTGTCACAGCGTCAGGGCAGCTTGCTCCTTCGGGTCCTGGGGTCCAGGCATATGTTGCATGCAGATACATTGAAAATCGCAAGCAGATGCGCAGAGACAGGGAACAAAGGAGCAGACTACCTAGCCCGGCTTCGTGGCACACGAGAACTCAACCCATCACTTACCACATGCAACACGGCAAAGACGAGCCCTCTGCAACAGGTAACCCTCATGCGCCAGACAAGTGCAAAGACACGCACGGACACAGACATGAAGACCCAAGTTGCCAACCCCAGCAAAGACCCGGGTCCCTCTGTTCTTCCCTCCGGTTCGGCCCGCGTGCGACAGTAAGTTCAAAAAGGGTTTCGAACTTCCAAGCTGAAGTCTTCTAATAGCAGGTAGCGGCGACGCACCCGGCGCCCCCGCGGCCGCTGCCGGTGGAGGTTGCGGATGCGCGGAGCCTCAGTATGGAAGGGTTCCCGGGCTGTCAGCAGAACCAGAATGGGCGGATGTTTGAAACGTCGAGGTTCGGTGTGAGAGCAAGACCTTCTTAAGTCAAGTAGGAGCAGCAACGACTCTGGGCTTTGAGCGGGCGGTCTGCTCTTGCAGATGTTTCGTCATCTTACCAGAGGCACTGAGTGGTAGGATCAAGGACATAGGGACATCTGACAAGCGACTCCTTTGAGCAAGCACCCCACAAACGAGTAATACATCAGCAATGGGTGAACAAAATTCATTAAATTCAGGTATAATACTGGGGAACGTTCATTCAAAGGTCTGCCAAAGTTCCGAGGCGGATCGACAAGCGGCACGGCACCAGCGACGGATTGAGATGGAGCGTGAGCTCTGTGAGAAGTGCCGCCCCAAGGTGCTGACAAGTGCCTGCTGTCTTTGTTGCTGTGCAACTGGCATTCTACCGCGGGCCCTAGAGTTTCCTTCGCCTCTTAGCTTCGCTACATTGCCACAGCTACTTAAAGTATCATGGGACTTAGTAACTAGGGTCAAAATTAGGGTAACTAGACTTATAAACCCCAACTAAGGCACTTATAACCTTACTTACTAAGTCCCATGATCCTCCAAGTAGTGTCTTGCTGCATGGCGGGTGCTACTGTTCCGTCTTCTCGTCCGTAGGCTTACGCGCTCGGCAGAGCTGCGGCCATGCTTCCAGCTTCCAGTTGCCAGAAACGTCCCTTAAACCCAGAGCCTGCTTGGAGGTTCATGGGTCGGATTATAAGTCCCCTGATATGGGTTATAATTATGGTTACCCTACTTATAACCCCACTTATAACTACCCTAAACCCTAATCCCTAAACCCTGAACCCAATAGAACCCTTTAAAGGAACCCCAAACCCTTATAACCCCACCCACTATAACTAACCCATGAAGCTCCAAGTGCTAAAGCCGACGAGGCTGGGACTGCCAGAGGCGCGGGGAGCTTTTTGTTGAGCCAATATGGGTAACCATAAGGTGGATCTTCGTCAAAAAATGTCGTTTCCTTTTTTCGTAACTGAGAATACTGTAGGGGCCTAAATGATTACCAACATTATTTTGGGCGGTTCCTTTTTAACGAAGTAGAGTATAATGGGCCCCAAAACCCTATGCTAATTAT